ATATTATAATATTTTATTAATTATATAAATTGTATTTTCATCTAAATAAAAAATAATAAAAATAATATTGTTATTACTTATAATATATTAATAGTTATTATTTTTTATCATAACAGTATGTTTTGATATTTTTATAATGTTATAATATGTTAATATTGGAAATTTATTATTAAACCGCTGTAGTATCTCATAATCAACCAATCATAAATGTCCCGCAAACGCACTAGTTTTTAATCGCTGTACCAGTCGTACAAATCGCCTAATAACGCTAGAAACCGCAACCACCCACATCCGCAAACTCCCGCAACCGCAATCGCAACCGCCGCGTTTCAACCAGTCAGATCCTAAGATTCTCTACTGACGACGGAAGCTATAATCTCCAAAACGACCCAGTTTTAGCTGAGTATTTTTGGCGAGTATTAGAAAGACAGTTAAACGAGAAAAGACAGACCTTCAAATGTTAGTTAAGAAAAAAAACATACTTAGTGTGAATAGTATACAAAGATAGCGTTTGATCCAACAAGATTTAAAATTCAACAGAGAAAATCAAATTCTTTGTTGTTCAATACGACAAACATATTATTAAAGACAAATTCAAGAAAGCTTTAGCAACCGAGCAGAAGCCTTGAGTTCATCACGTGCCAATGTTTTGATCATCTGCAAACAGTCACGACAAGTTGCACAAGTAAGATTACTACATTTTAGAACAGAGGGAGGCAGGGGAAATGTATTACATATAACACACCAAAAAACACAATGAGTCTTTATAGGTAGCAATTGCCTATGCTCTTCCCAGCAAAACTAATTTTAGTTATTTCGAATTGTTCTGACTATCTAATCGTAACTCTTAATGTGTCTTTATTTATACAAACGAACACAGTAATACTATTAGGTAAAATCTTATATGTACTTTGATTCCTTGCGACATTATAAAAACTGAAACCAAATAATGAAAAGAAATTTATGTATCAATCATAAACGATTTTACCTAATCGTAGAAGATCGATGCTCTTTAGTGAGAGGGAGCAGGCTGTTTCTGGTTGTGGTGAGACGATTTGGAAGGAGCCAAAGCTTTGCTGTAGATCTGTTCTCCTACAAGGTAGACGCAGAAGGCGGCGACGCCGATGCCAAGGCCGGGAAGAGCGTGTCTCATTTGGTTCGATAGCATCGGATGCTTCCTCCATTCATCTCTTCGCCGGAAAAACTCGCCGGTGGTACCTAAAGGCTTCGCCATTTCTTTCCGGTGGTCGATTGAAATCACGTTCTCCTCTTAGCTTCAGACTCTCTTATGACAAATCATGGGCTTCCTTTAACGAGTGGGCCTTTTATGGGCCTATTAATAGGCTTTATCATGAATTTGTAACCTTCTTACCTTTTTTTTTGGAACACAATAACCTTCGTACCTTTTAATTCTTTTTAATAATAAAAAATCTCCGAAAATCATAATGTAGGAAAATATTTGCTACCATTGGACCATTCAACTATTAGCCTTTTAGAAACCCTCCATAAACCTAAATTTTTGTAATAGTTTTACAAGAGTTTTTTCTAGGGCTGGACAAAAAAATCCGAACCCGAAAATTCGAACCGAATCCGACCCGATAAAAAGGAACCCGAACCGATCCGAACCCGACATAAGTACCGAATGGATCTTGTTTTACGGTATTTTGGGTTATGGGTATTACCCGAACCGAACCCGAACTTAAATGGATATCCAAAAGAACCCGAAACTTTAAAATTCCAAAAAAACTTGTATCATATCCAATCTAAATTTCTAATATGTTTCCAAAACAGATTAATATATTATTGAGTACCTACAATAATTAGTTATGTTATAAATAATTAGCTCAAATATTTAGTCTAATATATAGTGTTATTTGGTTAGTATTAATGTTTATGATTGACATTACATTTGAAGTTAAATTACGAATAAATTTGTTTTGAAGTTTATATAATGTTGTTTTTAAAGTTTAAATAGTACTTCTTATGTTTATAGAATTGTTAGTTGACAACTTTATTTTTTTATGTTTCATTATGTATTATATTTCGTTCATACAAGGCTATGTTTTGTCATTAATCATGATATGTTTAGTGTTGTCACATATAGTTCAATGACAAATCTTATATGGTTGATAGATGAGTTTCACAATATTATTTTGAAGGATAACAATATGGTTTGTAGAAGCTAAATACACAAATTTAATAAAATGATTGAAAATATAGTGAGTTTAATTGAGTATAAATTAGTATTTTTAGAACCGATAACCCGATTAATATCTGAAACCGAAACTATTTCGGGTTCAACCGGATCTTGGACATGTTACTAAACCCGAACCGAACCCGACTAAACCCGAACCGAATCCGACCCGAATTTTTATAATATCCGAATGGGGCTGAAATTCATAACCCGAAAACCCGAAACCCGAATGAACCCGAACCGAAACCCGATTGGGACCCCGATTGCCCAGCCCTAGTTTTTTCTTTCTTAAATATGGTATTTTTTGGACCAAGAACATTGGAGTATTTCTCTACCGTCTCTAGTTTGATATCAAAATATTAGAATGTATGTGTGTGGATAGGCCTGGGCATCCGAGTTCTCGGGTCTGGTTCGGGTCGGGTCCTGTCGGGTCCGGGTTTTTTGGGTTTTGGAAATTTAGATCCATATGGATATCTATGATTTTTCAGGTCGGTTCCGGGTCGGGTCTTGTCGGGTCCGGGTCGGTTCGGATCTATAATTTCAATATCTGTAAAATACCCGTAATTTTCGGGTCCGGATCGCGTCCGGGTATTTAGAATCTAAAAAATACATAACATGCCCAAAGTCACTCAAATCCAGTCAATATTTTTCATATATATCTAATTCTTTATAAATAACTTAAAATTAAACTATTAATAATTAAAGAAAACATTTTTAAATTCTAAATTTTACATTTTAAAACTTTATATTACTTAAAAATGTTACAAATAATAATAACTATTGTTAACAAAAGATATTTCAACTAAATTATAAAATAGTATAGATATATAAAACATAACATAAAAATAATAGTTTTGGATATACATGTTTATAAGTCGGGTACAAATCGGTTCTTATCGAGTCGGATCTATTCGGGTCGGTTCTTTTCGGGTCCGGGTCTATTCGGGTCGGTTCTTTTCGGATCCAGGTCTATTCGGATAAAAGAAATTTAAACCCAATAGATACTTATAATTTTTTGGGTCGGATTTGGGTCGGGTATTTTTGGGTCGGGTCCGGGTAAAATGCGCAGACCTATGTGTGGGGACAGATGTTCTTTTTGATAAATAATTAGTTCAAAGTGACAACCATAATAAAATATAATTATAAAATTTATATGAAAATGTTCTTTATTGCATTCATATAAGAACATAAGAGAAGTACACACTGATAGTTCATAATAATATATTCTGATCTTTTCAGCTTATGTCTCTAGTGCATGCGAAGATAGGATAGTGATCTCATCCGAGCCATTGTTTTCGGCATAAACATGTTGTTCCCGTTGTTAGTGGGTGGCCTTGGAGGAGGAGGATCTTTAGTAGGAGAAGATGGAACTGGTGGGGGGTTGACTTTACCGGTTTTGTGTGTGGACGGTTCTGCGATTGTTTGAACGGATATTAGAAGAAGTAGAAATAGAGCAATCTCCATTGATGCTGCAGAGAACTTCATGTTTCGTTTGTTGTTGTTTTGTGTGATATGAGCTTAGCAAAACCTCTATTTATTGTATTTGTATGTAGGCCAGTTACTGTTTTGTTTTGATCAGTTCGTGTGTGTTTAAATAGGTGGAGACAAAATACAGGAGAGCAAATATGATTAGTATTCTACATGTTAAGAAAGAAAATATATAAGAAGATTTTATTCCATTAATTGAATGATTTTGCTGAATTTATTCCACTGAAATGATTTTCCTAACATATGTTAACTTTGTTTTTATTTCCTTTATTAATCATCAGAAAGTATTGAGTATACAAATGAGAATTTTGAGTCAAACTTTCTTTAGTATTATTGATTCAAGGATTCAGTTAGAAAAGTTTAACCCAATCTAGATGCTTTTCATAGTTCAAATCTAAACCTTCTTAGAATATCTTTCAAACTAATATTATATACTCCATCCGTTTCAATTTAGTTGTCATTCTAGGTTTTTGCACAAAGATTAAGAAAATAATTAATTTTACATATTTTCAAAATAAAAACATAATTACTTATACACATAACCACTTTTTAACCAATGAAAAATATAACAAAATTTAAAATCAATAAATTTTGCATTGAAATTATAAAACGACACTTATTTTGAAACGAAAATTTTACTCTAAAATGACATGTAATTTGAAATGGAGGGAGTAGTATATTTATTATCTTTTAAATGCTAGTACATTTCATGTCTAACCTTACCCTTATTCTTTTGCAGTTTTTCCATTCATTTCCATGATTCCATATGTGGTAATCTACTAATTCACTGTTTTTTTAGCTTCCAAGCTCTCTCCTCAAATTCTCAAGTTCAACATTTTCCTTTACTTTTAAGCAGAGGGCATGTATTTTAGAGTTAGAAACAAATATATATTTTTTTACTTCTTTTACTGGTAAGAATAAAAAAAATGTAATGAAAAAAAATATATCTGCCTTTTATTGTTCTTGCTCGGAAAGAAAATATTCAAATAAGAATAATTTGCATCTTGTTAGATTAAAGGAAAAACATATCATCATTAATAGATGTGTTGTAACTCATTTCAAACCTTAGACATTGTTTATAGCTTTATAAAACTAGACCAGTTGATCGAAATGATAAAAAAATTATTTCCCAAAAATATTTGTTAAATCACTGGTTCTAAGCTCGAGGGGTGATTTAAATCATGCATCACTTGCCCGAGGCCCGATTCTGATTTTAAGAGTATACTATATTATAATATGTGTTGTGGTAGGTAATGACAAAACCAACATATTCAAAACATAAAAAGAAAACTCCTTTCCTTTTGCTCGAACTTTATTGATTAAAATTAACATTTGTCTTGATCACTAAGGTTCTGCCTCTTGCTATGGATCCGAGACTTCAACAAGCTGCTAAATCTGGAAGCATTGATGAGTTGTATGCTCTTATTGATGAGAATCCATACATTCTTGAGAACATCGACGCGGTACCATTTATCAACACTCCCCTCCACGTAGCTGCAGCTTCCGGGAACACAGAGTTTGCCATGGAGATGTTAAATCTTAAGCCATCTTTTGCCAGAAAGCTGAACACAAGCGGGTACAGTCCATTGCATCTCGCTGTAGACAAGGGTCATACAGATTTTGTTTACTGGATGCTCAAGCATGACCACAGCCTTGCTTGCGTCAAAGGGAGAAATGGCATGACCCCATTCCACTTCCTAGTGGTAAGAGGAAACGTGGAGCTTGTGGCAGAGTGCCTCAATGTTTCCCCTGAATGTATCGAAGATGTGAGTGTGAAAGGCCAGAATGCTCTGCACCTTGCTGTGGTGAATGATAGATTCGAAGTTCTCCAAGTCCTCACTGGATGGATCAAGAGAACGATACAAAGAAACGCTTTCAAGAACGAGTTCTGTTTTCTGAATAAAGAAGATTTCAGCTACAACACGGCCTTGCATCTTGCAGCACATAAGAATGATCTTCAGGCATGTTTTGTTTTCTCCAGTGCTTTCTTTTTCCATACCTGCCACATGATATAAAGCTTTCCAAATCAAGATTTGAGTGAAAATGAATAGAGTTAACTATAAGATTTGTTGGTTGTGGAAATGATTTAAATCACAGTGCAAATACTAATGTCATATTCATTGGGCCAGACGAAGTATTTTTAGGATTAGGAAAAGTGTTGATAAAGAGGTTTTCTTAAAAGAAAAATAAATATTAATCTTTAAAATTTGTATAAATACAGGTCTAGCGGATTGTACCAATTAGTTAATTTGCACAACAATATACAAACTCTAACAACGAGTATCCTTAGTTGTGTTATGATCTTTTAGTTTATTGCTTTTCTTCGTAGTTAATTCGTGTTTGTTCACAACAAAATTCCTAATATGATGATGTTATTTTTGTGTAGGCGGTAAGACTATTACTAGAATGTCAGTACGTGGAGCGGAATAAAGTAAATGGTGATGGTTTAACATTCCTTGATATCTTAAGAAACCTTGAGAACTCAGGTGACTGGGACTTGGATTTGGAACAAGTTATTATAAAGACCCGCTGTAAAGAGGCTGCTTCTATGCCAAAAACCAAGACTCTATCTGATTTTTGGATAACTCCATTTACTATCTGGAAACGCCATTCCACTGCTATGAAACGCCTAAGGTCTAACATTCCAGAAGAAGCTCGTGGAGCTTTCCTGGTTGTATTCACTTTGATAATAACAGCCACATATCAGACTGGCCTCCAGCCTCCTGGAGGTGGACAACAATCCAAGGATGATCCGCATTCTTCGAAGACAAAACAAGCATTCTTCATCCTTCTTTGGCTTTCCAACACCTTAGGCTTCTACTGCGCTCTATTCTACACCTTTTCTTTCTTGCCACTCAGGGGTCTGTTTACGTCATGGTACATTTTAATAGGGACCTTACTGGGAGTTTCTTATGCACTAGCAGTGGCGGGAAACTCACCAGACCCTGTAATGTTTCTCATGATGACTTTTGTCATCTTCCTGCTTTATCTTCTCTATCTCACGTTGCTAGCTTTTCTTGGGCGGAAGCATCTGACGGTGGTACCTGAGCCCCATCTTAGCTGGTTTAGAAAACCTTGAAAATGTATGCAGAGGAGAGAGCTTTTGAAAATGCATGTGATGTAACACATAGCTTGTGGTAGAGTTTCTCATGTCTTGTCCTCAATGTATCCAAGATGTGACTGTGAATGGCCATAATTAACTCTCTTCACCTTGCTTTAACGAATGGTAGATTTGAAACTCTCCAAGTCCTCACCAGTTACATAATTAATAACATAAACAACATTTTTGTGTTTATTTTTATTACATGCATGTGTCTATATTCAATGAAAAGGAAAAATAAACAGTTTTATGTACTTAAATATACATTCAAGGATGAAAGAAGAAGGTATTGAGCCACACCATATGACATTACTTTAGTGTCTTGACGGCTTGCAACCGTGCAGGATAATTCGTAAGAATGCCAAGAATATTTGACATCACAAGTGATGCTTTTGTGGCTTATATGGATGATTATTTTTGGGGAAAATCGCATAAAAACCTTTAAAGTGATATTTATTAACACTTTAAACTTTGATTTTTTTTTACTAGCATTTTAAACTTTAAAAGTGACATCTATGTCACAAAAAAACCTTAAACTTGAAAATCTGAATTGTTGAACAGGTAAAACAAGTTATTCATCAATTTTTTTTCGAAAAGTAAATATTTAAGAAGAAAAAATTAATATATAATCAAAAAATAATAAAAAATCAATTAAATTTGCAAAACAATTAAAGAAAATTTCAGAACATAAAGAAAAAAACTAATTTCAAAAATCAAAATTAAATAAAAACCTTCCATTAAACAAAAATCAAAGAAAATTCACAAAATTAAAGAAAATTCACAAACCTTTTTAGTTAAAAGTTAAGAGATGATTTTATATGTTCCGACCCTAAAAACCTTCCATTAAACACTCTCTAAAACGTCCTTAAAACTGATCGGTAAAAGTAAAGCCAATAGGTTTCCATGCAATTTCCTGGGTCTTTTCTTAGTGCATTCCATGTCAAAAGTTCACCCTTATTCTCTTGTCACTCATTTCCGTGTGGGGTTTCTCTACTTCTTTACTGGTTTTTGCTTCGAAGCTCCCTACTAAACCTCCCAAGTTCGACTCTTTGTTTCACTTTTTATGAGTATATAAATATGTGTTGTTGTGGGCAGGGCCGGCCCATTACCAACTGAAGCCCCATTTGAATTAGAAAATGGGTCGTTTTCCCATTATCATTTTTTTTTTAAGTTTAAGCCTAAAAAAGCTAAAAATATTTTGGACCCTAAGCAATGACTTCATTTACCTATGCACCGGGCCTGGTTGTGGGTGACGAACTGACGATAACATCAACCTTTTCAAAACTAATAATTCTCCCGCTCCCACTCTTAGAAAAAAATCCAGTCCTTCTATTTTCCTCTTGCTCAAACTTATATCGATTAAATTAATAATTTGTCTTGATCACTAAGTTTCTTTTGCTATGGACCCAAGATTTTAAATGATAAAATCTGATTTCCCCAAAATACTTGTTAAATCACCGGTCCTAAGCTCGAGGGGTGATTTAAGTCATGCTTATTAAATCATGCTTCACCTGCCCGAGGGCCGATTCTGATTTTAAGAGTATATAATATGTGTTGTGGTAGTTATTAGGTATTGACAAAACCAACATATTCAAAACTTAAAAGAAAAAAAACTCCTTTCCTTTTTACTCAAACTTTATTGATTAAAATTAACATTTGTCTTGATCACTAAGTTTCTGCCTCTTGCTATGGATCCGAGACTTGAACATGCTGCTGAATCTGGAAGCATTGATGAGTTATACGCTCTCATTGATGAGAATCCCTACATACTTGCCAACATCGATGCTGTGCCATTTATCAACACTCCCCTCCACGTAGCTGCAGCTGCCGGGAAGCTAGAGTTTGCCATGGAGATGTTGCATCTTAAGCCATCTCTTGCCAGAAAGCTGAACACAAGCGGGTACAGTCCATTGCATCTCGCTGTAGACAAGGGTCACACAGATTTTGTTTCCTGGATGCTCAAGCATGATCACAGCCTTGCTTGCGTGAAAGGGAGAAATGGCATGACGCCATTCCACGTTCTAGTGGTAAGAGGAAGAAACGTGGATCTCGTGGCAGAGTGCCTCCTTGTTTCCCCTGAATGTATCCTAGATATGAGTGTGAATGGCCAGACTGCTCTGCACCTTGCTGTGGTGAATGATAGATTTGAAGCTCTCCAAGTCCTTACCGGATGGATCCAGAGAACGAGCCAAAGAAACGCTTTTACGACCGAGAAAGGTTTTCTGAATAAAACGGATTTCAGCCACAACACGGCCTTGCACCTAGCAGCATATAAGAATGATCTTCAGGTATATGTTTTATATTATTCCATAACAAAATCGAGTTTAACTATGAGGTTTCTGAAAGATTAATGATGTTATTATGTGTAGGCGGTAAGACTATTACTAGAGTGTCGGTTGGTGGAGCGGAATAAAGTCAATGGTGATGGTTTAACATTCCTTGATATCTTAAGAAACCTGCAGAGTCACTGTGACTTGGATTTGGAAAAAGTTATTCTAAAGACACGGTGTAAAGAGGCTGCTTCTATCCCAAAACCCAAGGCAGTGTCTGAATTTTTAAAATCGCCATTGAATCTTGCCACATACAGCTCCACTATCACCAACCGCTTAAGGAGTAACACTTCAGAAGAAGCTCGTGGAGCTTTTCTGATTGTATTCACTTTGATAATAACAGCCACATTTCAGACTGCCCTCCAGCCTCCTGGAGGTGGAGGACAATCCAAGGATCCAAGGATAAAACGGGCATTCTTCATACTGCTTTGGTTTTTTAACACCGCAGGCTTCAACTGCGCCCTATTCAACACTTTTTGTCTCTTACCACTTAGGCGTCTGTTTACGTCATGGTTCATTTCAGTAGGGCTAGCTATTGGAGTTTCGTATGCACTAGCAGTGGCGGCTAACTCACCAGACCCTGTATTTTTTTTCGTGATGACCACTGTCATCGTCCTGGTTTATGTTCTCTATCTCTTGTTGCTAGCTTTTCTTGGGCGGCGGCAGCATCGGACTGTGGCGAGTGAGCCCAACTTGAGCTGGTTTAGAAGATCTTGAAATGATAGGTTTGATACCTCTGTATATGTAGAGGAGATATCTTTAAAAAAAACAATGTGCATGATGCAACACTTCAACAGTTGACATATCTCCCAGAGTTACAATGTAATGTTATATACAGAAATGTCACGAAAAGTTTTGGGAGACAAATTTGTAAATTGCCCCAGTAAAAAAAAGAGTTTAATTAGTCCTTTGAGTTTATCTACTTAGCCTTACTTGACTACTTGTATATAACTCTTCTATGATGATCAAATGTACATACATACGCTTTCATTAATTTGAAAATGAAAGTCACACTGGTTACTGGTTACGTTAGTTGTCATTATTGTTTTATTTTATTGTTTCTTCTCCCATATGCATTTCAGCGTGGTCAATGTGGAAAAAAAAAAGGTTAGGTGTGATCTTGACATTTGACTACGTTCGGTTGTTAACTGTTTCTTGCTTCGAAGCTTCCTGGTAAAACATTTGACTACACTTTCCTTTGCTTATAGAATTTCATATCCACATAATGGAGTAACAAAAATAAAATTTATGCACCAAAGAGATGGTTCCTCCCTATTTCATTTGTTCTCTTGTTCAACTCTCTCGATCTTGTTGAGTTATATTATAAAAAAAAGTTCTTGATTCCTGAAGTTATACCAAAATCTCTCTTTGTATGGATCCGAGACTCCAACAAGCTGCTGAGTCCGGAAGCATTGATGATCTTTATACTCTGATTGATGAGAATCCATACATTCTTGATAACATCAGTGTTGTACCATTTGGGAACACTCCCCTCCACGTAGCTGCAGCCTTTGGGAACATACCATTCGCTCTGGAGATGCTGAATCTCAAACCATCATTTTCCAGAAAGCTGAACACAAGTGGGTATAGTCCTTTGCACATTGCTGTTGAAAAAGATCAAACCGAGTTTGTAACCTGGCTGCTCTGGCTTGATCCTGGTCTTGCACGTGTTAAAGGTAGAGAGGGCATCACACCGTTCCATCTCATAGTGGCAAGAGGGAATGTCGATCTTGTGGTAGAGTGTCTCATAATTTCCCCTGAATGTATCCAAGATGTGAACGTGAATAACCAGAATGCTCTGCACCTTGCTCTGAAAAGTGATAGATTTGAAGTGCTCAAAGTCCTCACCGGTTGGGTCCAAAGAATGAGTGAAAGAGACGCTTTCACCATCGAGTCTGCTATTCTGAACGCAAAAGATTTAACCTACAACACGCCTTTGCACCTTGCAGCATATAAGAATGATCATCAGGCATGTTTAAGTTTTAATTTATATCGGTTATGAAGATGATTCAGTATGCAATAATACTTGACTATGGCTGTGTATACAGGCGGTAAGACTGTTACTAGAATGTCGGCTGGTGAGGCGCAACCAAGTAAATGGCGATGGTTTAACCTGTCTTGATATCTTACGGAACCAAGGACACGCTGCAGGTGTAGTAGACTTGGAACAGGTAACTTTGTTAACTCGGTGTAAGGAAGCAGCTTCTCTGCCAAAATTCCAGAAAATGTCTGATTTCTATAAATCACCAGTCACTTTCTGGACCTACTGCTCCACAGCTATGAGACGCCTCAGGTCTGACACTTGTGGCGAAGCTCGTGGAGTCTTTCTGATTATATGTACATTGATAATCACATCTACTTATCAGACCGCCCTCCAGCCTCCTGGTGGTGTAAACCAATCAGAGGGTAATTCAAATGCAGGTGTTGTAGTGATGAAACAAGCTTTTTTCATTGCTCTTTTTGTTTCCAACACTATAGGCTTCTGTTGCGCTATATTTTACATGTTTTGTCTCTTACCACTACGAAATTTGTTTACGTCATGGTTCCGTTGGATAGGTGTGTCTATGTGCGTTTCTTATGCGCTAGCAATGGCTGTAATTTCACCACACCCTCTACTGTTTCTCACTTCAGCATTTGCCTTGTTCATGGTATTGCCTTTCTTTCTTATGTTGGAAGTTTTCAAACGCCTACGGTTGAGCCATTTGAAGGCAGCTGCGTCTCATCCCAGGCTCAGCTGGTTTTGGAAGGATTGATGCAAACATTTGCTAAAACAGAGAAAGACTTATCAAAAAAGCAAATACAAGTTTTTTTTTTTTTTACTTTGAATGTAATGTGAATTAAGATGATTGTAGTTTAAATGAAATATGCAAAATAATTTTCAGAATAATTAGTATCTGTGGATATCTGATATGACTGTCGAATTTACTTTTGAATGATTTAGCGTCATGATCTTCCTCATCTTTATGTTGTATACAGATATATGGTTTCCTGAAGTTTATAAAATGTTCAGTAAAAATAAGTTTGATACACCAGGAAAAAAAGTTAGCTACCTGATCATAGAAAGTCCCACTTTTTTAGATTGTTTCTTATTCCTCACATGTACATGTGGTTCCTTGGGATATTTCACTTTCTTTATTGTTTTGTAACATTTGTTTGTTAGTTCTTGCTAAAGACAAATTTTGAGTGTAGATCACAACAGTTTTCTTGAAAACAGAGCTTTCTCTCAAAACATCTCCCTCTCTCCATGGATCCAAGACTACAACATGCTGCAGAAACCGGAAGCCTCAATGGCTTCTATGCTCTAATTGACGAGAATCCTTACATTCTTGATAACATCAATGCCGTGCCATTTGTCAACACTCCTCTCCACGTAGCTGCAGCTTCTGGAAACATACCATTCTCCACAGAAATGCTCAATCTGAAGCCATCCTTTGCCACAAAGCTGAACACAAGCGGGCACAGTCCATTGCATCTTGCTGTAGAAAAAGATCATAGAGACTTGATAACATGGCTTCTTAGTACTGATCCTGAACTATTTCGCGTTAAAGGGAGAGAAGGCATCACGCCTTTCCATCTCCTTGTGGCAAGAGGAGATGTAAATCTTGTGGCAGAATGTCTCATGTCTTCTGCTGAATGTATCCAAGATGTGACTGTGAATGGGCACAACGCTCTTCACCTTGCTTTAACCAATGGTAGATATGAAACTCTCCAAGTTCTCACCGGTTGGATCCAAAGAATGAGCCAAAGAGATTCTGCTTCAACCGAGTCTGATCTCTTGAACAAAAGAGATGTTTCTCACAACACTCCTTTGCATCTTGCAGCGTATAAGGAAGATCACCAGGCGATAAAACTGTTACTAGCGTGTCAGATGGTGAAGCCAAACGAAGTAAACGGTGATGGTTTAACGTTTCTTGATATCTTGAGACACCAAGGACAGAGTAGAGACTTGGATTTGGAACAAGCTGGGTGCAAGGAGGCCACATCTCTTCCTAAGCTGGAGAAAACAACCACTGATCACTACAAGACACCAATCACTTTCTGGTCTCATTGCTCCACTGGCATCAGACGCCTAAAGTCAGACACTTCAGAAGAAGGTAGAGCAGTGTTCTTGATCATATGCACTTTGATAATCACATCCACTTATCAAACCGCTCTACAGCCTCCAGGAGGTTTACGCCAATCAGAGGAAGGTGGTTCCGCTGTGATGAAACAGACGTTCTTCATTGTGCTATGGGTTTCCAACACTATAGGCTTCTGCTGCGCTCTACTTTACACGTTTTGTCTCTTACCAGTTAGTAGCTTGTTTACAACATGGTTCTTTTGGATTGGAGCGTCTCTTGGAGTCTCTTATGCCCTTGCTATGGCTGTTATCTCACCACACCCAGTGTTGTTTATCTGTGCAGCCTTTGCCTTGTACCTGCTCTTTCCTCTGTATCTACTGATGGAAATTTTCATAGCCCTGAGGCTTAGCCATCTGAAGGCTACAGTGACTAGAATGTTTGTAACACTATTGAAAGAGAAACAATCAAAAGCTTAAACACAGTTTTCTCAGAAACATAAGACAAATTAGTATTTGGACATTAACAGCAAAAAAAAAAAAAAAGAGATTACTAACTGTAAAGCTGTCTCAATCCCATTTAAGATTACACAATCAAAAGCCTTCTTGGTTCTGTCTATTTGTTCAATAACTATCATCAGCTCTCAAGCTCTGATTTTCTTGTTAGTAGTGCAACTAGGGCATTTGTAATGTTTGATGTGCTCAGCCTTTGCAGGTGTGATCTTCACGCATTTTCCATGGAACCATTTCTCACAAGCATCGCAACATATCCAGAAATCATCATGGTTGTCTCCACACACACCACAAACCGCACCTTGTTCATCATCTTCCTCATCAGCTCCACTCTCATCATCTTCTCCTGGTGGTGGCGACATCTTTGACGCCTTAGTCTGAGATTCAGATTGTCGAGGCTGCGTGAAGAGAAAGTTAGCAGAGATAAAGAAAATAAAAACAAAATGGTGAGAAGAGAAGGTTTCTATATACCTTGACACCACTAGACTTGGTTCTGCTACTGTTTTGGTTAGCAGATTGATCCTTGTATTGCTTTGCATTGCCATTTATAACCTCGAAGATGGTAGGGCAATCATTTATCATCTGGAAGAGTCTCTTCCTGAAACAAATTTAACCAACTTAGAGGCTGTGCATAGTATCAGGAAACAAACACTGTTCTAGAACATTGCAGCTACCATAGTGGTCACTGTAGAATTACCAAACATCTGTACAAGAAGATGAAACAACTGAGCAGAGAAGGAACCTAACCTCTCAGTCTTCCCAAATCCGAAACGTGCGCCAAAGTAGAAGGCAACAGAGATGAGCCATGAGTCACTGTGAACAGCAACCAAAGATATCCAATCTTTTTCAGGCATCCCGTCCCTTGCAAAGTTAATGCCTAGAGCTGGTTCAGGAAGCTCAGGAGGGACCTCGTCGACAGGAAGATTCACTTCCCATGTCTCATTTGGAAGTCCATAAAGACACAAGTTTTCCTTGTCTACACAAGTGTAAAAAAAAAAAACAGAATTACCCAAAGAAGAGAAACCACGCAGAACATCAACTTCATTTTAGTACAAACATTTAGATTATCTATATCCATTATGCTGTTCAAAAATGAAGAAACCAAACTACTATGAGGAGGAAGATAAAACTATGGCCAGTGGAGACAAGAATCCTGACAACAACTGTACATCTAACAAACAGAAACAAAAAAAAACTAGAAAACAAAGAAACAACAACAGGCTAGTGAGCAAACAAACTCATGAAGCAAAAAAATGCACATAACATCACAGATTCGTCCCTCTTGCACTGAAAACATATAACATCAACTACTATACTGAAACCAACCAGAGAAGAATCAATGCGCTATGAAGAAGGGTGAAGAAATAACTCACCAGGGTCACACTCATGGTAAAACTTCCTTACATCTGCATAAAGAAAACCCACATAGCAACAAATAAAATAAGCAAACTTTACACTATTGAACAAGTGAGCATGCACACAAAAAAAATTCGCAAATCTATAAAGAAAAAAAACATACGCCCACAAGGGTGTTTCATTGGTTAATTGCTACTGAGAAAGTAATAAGCTTAAGATTTGAACAAAAAGAAACAGAGACCTGTAGAGAGAGCCTTGAGGAGACCAGCTCTTCGACCTCTAAAGTCGCCAAACACATCTTCGACGCTGCGTGGTATAACAGGATTCTGTATTCCCTCCATTACTCAGACTCACAAACGCCGGCGCGGTGATGGCTACTCCAAGATCGGATTTTTATTTTTTAAATTTTCCTTTCTAGCGAAATTGGCTACTTGGATTTGTGTCCAGAGACAGACACTCAATTAATCTTCATTATAGGAATTTTTCTGGGAAATTGAGAAGAAGAGAGAGAGCGCTTTAAGAACCCTAAAAAGACATAAAAGTAAGGAGACAAAAGACAATTTGGGGGTCTGTAATACAGACAAATATTAATTTTATTTATTTTTATTTTTCGAACATGTATTTATTTTATTTTTTTGTATCAAACAGACATCAGTACTAAAGCGTGGAGGACAAGTTAGATAATACAAGAGCTAATTTAACCACAGAACCAGCTAGAACATTATTCAATCTAGGAATGTAGGAGAAGGAAATAACTTCAAAAGAGAAGCTAAAGAGATGAATACCAAACAAAGCTGGGGTAAAGCCTCCTTTCTTCAATAACTTAACCAAGGATAGAGAATCTGACAGAATCATTAGGATTTCGCATTTGACAACGCGAAAGGTTCCGAGAGGTTGCTATCATTTATTGACATAAACAGTCCATAATCAAACATTGTGGTAATTGTGTACCATGAACCTTGATACCCGTGACGATTAAAATCGGAACAGCTTCTGATGGAAAGCTACAACAACAACAAACGATAAACCAAACCCAAGAGCAACTCCATAAGAAAAATCTAAGGCATAGTCATCACTAGCACTGTTGTCACTCTCATCACTGGTTCTTACTCGGTTTTTGTCTAGTGTATCTGCTTGACATCGAGTCCAGTCGTAATCACAAAAACCGTTACCCTCGTAGCTCGAGTTTGGAAAGGTTTGAAACTGACCACCAGAAGGGATTCTCCCTGAGAGACTATTGTTTGCAACACTGAACTTGGACATGAATGTTAGTTTCTGCAGAGATGTCGGGATTGAACCGGAAATGTGGTTATTAGACAGATCAAGAGCCTCCAAGCTTGTCATTCCTGAAAGCGAGCTAGGGATCTGTCCTGATAATCTGTTGGCATTCAGGTTAAGTACATGGAGGTTCTTCAAGTTTCCAAACTCCTCCCATATGGGTCCAGAGAGATTGTTTTGGCTGAGTTCAAGCGTTGGTGGAAATCTGGAAACATGTTTGTATTGCAGAGATCTTCCATTCTCAGCAATTCTATGTAAGTAGAATGTGAAATCTGGATACGGCTCCTCAGCTGAAATACCTCGGCTTATGAAGCTACGCAGCTTTGTTAAACTCTTTGGGATCTCTCCTGTGAACGAGTTATTAGACAAATCTAAGAAGAAGAGATTGGTGAAACCACCGATCCAATTTGGTATAGCTCCAGTTAAACTGTTCCATGAGAGATCCAACAGCTCTAGATTGGTGCTCTTACTCAACCACCTTGGCACTGAACCAGTAAGCCTACAATTTGGTACAACAAGTACCTTCAGCTTCTTGAAATGAAGGCTCCGGTCATCAGGCAACATCTCTCCATGGAAATTTAAAGTAAGAACCAGAGTTGTCAGGTTCTTGCAGTGCTGAAGGATGTGAAGCGTCGATGAAATGTTCACAAGGCTGCAGTTTGAGAGGGATAGATAAGACAAGCTATGGAAGTCCTTGAAGCTCTCTGGGACTTGCCCATCAAAGTGGTTTCGCGCGAGATTAACGTAACTCAACTTCCTGCAAGACGGTAGATGTTCAAAGAAAGAGCTATTGAACCTATTGGTCCCAAGATTAAGTGAGGTCAAATTACTCATCACAGTACAGTTCAGATACAAAGGACCACTCAATGAGTTGTTCCCTAAGTTCAACAATCTCAAAGTTTTTGAATTTGCCAATGACTTAGGGATCTCTCCTATAAATCTATTAGAGTTAGCGATTAGATACTCTAGCTTTGGCAGTTTCTTGAACACGTCAGGGATCTCCCCGGAGTATCTATTCCATGAGATATCTAAATGAACTAGTCTGGAGAGGTTACCATCTACAGGACTGAATGAACCAGAGAGACTATTATCCTGAATCTCCAATAGACTCAACTTTTGAAGATGAAAGAGATCCTCAGGTATGTTACCAGTGAGTTTTGTCAAATTCGGGTCTCTTATGGGCTTCCAACTTAAAACCAATTGGTAATAAGTGGATTGGCCCTAACCCTTTATATATTACTTAAGATCCCTTTTGATTTCCCGATGTGGGATATATTATCCCTAATACCCCTCCTCGAGATGATGGCTCTTATCGGCCAGAAATCTCGAAACTTTAAGACAGTTATACTCGGTCGAGCGAGTCAAATACGACAATTATACCTAGCCGGAAGGTTAAACACGACCTATATACCCGGTCGGAAGGGTAATTAATTAATTAGGAGTTTAGGGCTTTTTTTCCATTAGGATCTGGGCTCTGATACCATGTCAAATTCGGGTCTCTTATGGGCTTCCAACTTAAAACCAATTGGTAATAAGTGGATTGGCCCTAACCCTTTATATATTACTTAAGATCCCTTTTGATTTCCCGATGTGGGATATATTATCCCTAATAAGTTTGTTCCCGCCAAGGAAGAGATGTTCAAGCAGAGCACATCTCTCAAACCCAGATGGGAACTCTCCAGAGAATCTGTTGGACTCAAGTCTTATCAGCTTAAGGTCTGTAGAGTTGTGACAAATACGAACCGGAAGCGAACCGTTCAAATTGTTTGAGGAAAGAGAGAGACTCTTCAGTGAAGGAAGACTCAAGCTCTCAGGGATTAAGCCAGTGAAGTCACTAGAGCTCAAATCTAGAGCTTCTAAGTTTTTGAGATTGAAAATTGACGGAGGGATGGAGCCTGAGATGAAGTTGCGGGAGAGATTAAGAACTCTAAGGTGATGCAGTCTCCCAAGAGATTCAGACAACTTACCGGAGAGTGTTTTGCTCACAAGCTTCAGTTTGGTGACGACTCTCAGAGTGTTGTCCGGATCGTTTAAGCTGACGCATGTGATCCCTTCCCATTCACAGCAATCTCCAGTGGAATTGAATTCCCAACTGTCTGGCTTGGGGGAGAGCTCGTTGATGAAGTCACGCAAGGCCTCTAGGTCACGTGGATGGCACGTGAGGCTCTGAGAGTTTGAGGAGTAGAAGCAGAGCTCTACGGCGACGAGTATGATGATCATCACCGACAAGTAATGGTGAAGAAGAAGACCCATGATGTCGGAAGAGGAAGAGAACAAAGTGAGTACGACTTTTAAAAGTCAAAAGTATGACCGAGTATAATAGGGGAGGTGATGGTTGACTTTAACTCTCAAAGTTCTTTACCGTTGACTAATAAAAGCTGAGAGAGAGAGAGAGAGAGAAAAAAATAACATATTAAAATGTTTCAACCGAATTGAATTCATCTATTTATTACTGAACCGGTTTCTCAATACAGTTATAGTTTGTTTTTTTTTGTTGGTTTGATTTTGGTTGATTTTTTCAGTTCCTTGGTTGGCCTTTATTTAGCGGAGATCATTCGCTTGGTTAACCTATTTTGGCATCTTGCCAAACATTTTTCCTGTTGGTCGAGCTTTCTATTAAAAATATTATACGAGAACGTATTAAACATGTTTCTTTTAAAGTCCAGATTTCCTCATTCAAGTGAAAAAGAAAGTTTCCACTCATAATAATCAGTTTCATTATAGTTAGCATTTGGAGTTTGGTCTGGAAGGCATGACCGAATTAAACAAACATAGATACTTGTAAATTTTCGGGTTGGATTTCTTCGGGTAGGTTGTTCAGATTATTTGGTCCATGTAGAATATCCAGACCAATCTACTCTATTGAAAAAAATTGATTTGATAAGCTGACTTGTTTGTTAGAGTCTCCTTCAAAAGATGATGAAGAAGAACTGCAACGAACACTGGCTGTTTCCTTCAACGACATGAAAGAGTCTTCAGGTGATAAATCACCAATAACTAGTAGTTCAAGCAGTTACAACAAAGTTGCTGCCAACATTCCCACAAAGACTCCAAAGAAAGGTGACAACAGCGTTTAATGCAGAGTTGGAATCCTTTTACCTAACGGACAAAGACTCCAGAGGAAATTCTTCTAAACCGATACAATTCACATTTGCAAATCCTAATATTCAATTGTTACAGGTTTTAGAGTTTTCATCTTACATAGTAGTGAAAACTCGCCATTGTTAAGTTGATAAACTTTTAAATATTTATGTCTAATTGGATTAGTGATTTTCGACTTAATGATGATTACATAAGATTCAATCATCTTTCACATCTCTGTTAAATTAAAGTACATGGATTAAAAATTTAGACAAAAATGGTGACGAGGATGCTTTTTATAGATTCAATAATCATCTAAATCTCTATAACTTAGATGTACTAATGATTCTAAGATTAAATGGTCACCATTATGATGCTTATATCAGATTTTAATCTTTATCTTTTCCATTAATTTAATTGGATTTATGAATTCAAAATTGAAACGGTCACTATGCTTATTTTAGACCGCGAACACCATAAAACTGAATTGTAAAGCTAGGTCAGATAGAGCGCATTGTAGCTTGTGAATTCTACACTTTGCAGTCATAAAAATTAACGGTTACATCTACCAGTGGTATTTCAGAAATTATGAGAAAAATGAAAGAAAAAAATAAAAATATTATATTAAAACCAAATTTGGAAAATAAGAAAACACAATGAATTAGTCAGCTAGCTGACACAAAAGAAAAGAGAAAATTACAATGAGTTATTTACAAATATTTATTGTATATTTGTATTCATTAACATATTAGTTGGTCTTCACCTTTTTAGTAAAGAGTCCAAAACATTGACTTTGAGTTACTACATAATAATATGGGCATACACTGGAGCACACGTGTAGGATTAAGAGTTTTTTTTTTTTTTACAGCAAATATAACTAGTTGTCTCTAGTTACTTTTAACACTACTTTAACGCTTTTATATAAATGAACAATCAATAGGATATTAATAGTTACAATGAAAAGAGTCATAAATATTAATAATTGAGTTAATACTCTTCTCATACCATACACTGGAGTACAAGCGTTAAATGAAGAGTTAAGTGAAGGCTTTGATTGTTTAGATACAAAGTTATGAGTCAAATGAAGAGAAAGACAAAGGCTTTGTTAAAGCCATAAGAGACACACGGGAAGGAGTGAGGTGCCCCCTGACCACACCTGCATGTGCCCACACATTTCACTGTTTTACAGTGACACACAAACTCTAATCTTCCTCATTCTTCTGAAAAGGTTCAAAAATAACAATTTACCATTTAAAAAAAAATTAAAGTCTAAAATTTGCTTTAAATTTATTTTAACTTGAATTTATGTTGCAATAAAGGGAAATGATTTTACATACTTATTTTATGACAATCTAACACTGATTTTTTTATATAGGAATATTTAATAACAAAAAGATTATAAAAGTGAAATGTGAATTAGATCATAAATGAAGAGGAACATATTTTACAACATTACAAAAGTGAAATAACTATGTTTAAATCATGATGACTCAACTTAACCAATAAATTACTCTAAATTCTTTCAACCAGTACTCGTACGTTACAGAAAAGAAACGTACCAAATTTAATTAGATTTTTTCCAAAACATTAATTTTTTATTGTCCTTTCTCAAAAAAAAAAAGTTCATTAATTTGTTCTTTAGTAGTAAAAAAGGGAAAGAGACTGTAGCTATATATATATATATATAATGAGATTTTACAAGACTCAATACCAATTATTAAAAAAAAAAAAACAGAGCAACAAATCAAGAGAGAAAGAAAGTGATAGGGCTTTTTCTTTAAGGTGTGTGTATTTGTATATTTATTATATATATTTGCCTATGGCTTCTTCTTCATCCTCTTAACATTATCATCATCTACCTGGTTTCTTTCTTTCTCTCTGAGTTTTAGCTTTTTTATTGACCTTTTTCTTCTTGGTTTCTTTCTCTGCATCTCAAGACTTAGTTACAATAAAAAAACAAGTTATATACTATGTCTTCTTTCCAAATTACAAATTAAGTCTAACACTTTGGATTTATATTTGTTCTATATATATTCTCGTGAATGTCTTCTAGTGATGTAATTCTTTTTCTTTTTTTTCATGTCGTCAATCTCTATGGCTTCTTCCTGTTCTAATTCTTTCGTTTTTTTTCTAAATCATATTTCGTTTCTATCTTCTCTCTCACTTTTAAATTATTTTATTACTGGATCTTTGTAGACTAAGCAAAGGCAAAACCTGAGAAGATGTCTTCATCTTACAACAACACAATTTCATCATCCTCCACTCAGCCTTTCCTCCTCGCTAGCGCCGCCACCGGAGCAAACAACTTTAACCGTGAAGAGGCGGTGATGACGATGATCCAACAACCCAACTCCGTTGCTTCACCACCGCCACCCAAAAAACGAAGAAACCAACCTGGAAGCTCATGTGAGTACCTATAATTTATATTTGTTGTTACATAAACATATAAGTGCGTGTGTCTACATATTCTAAAAAAAAAAAGCATCAGTAAGCCTCAGTGAAGACTTTTCCTGATAAGAGGAAATGCAAAAAGATAAGAACCCTAAATTTTAATTTAGCTTTCTTTGTTATCATTCTTGATAATCAAGAACTAGGATTATAATCATTCGATCTGACTAGACTATATATTCTTTAGAAATTCTTGTACTCTATTCAACAATTTTTACGAGAAGATTAGTCTATTCGATTTTCTTATATAATATTGATGAATAGTAATGGTGTTTGATCAATATTTTAATCTTTTGATTGAACAGATCCAGATGCTGACGTGATAGCGTTATCTCCAACGACGATCATGGCGACGAACAGATTCCTATGTGAAGTATGCAACAAAGGATTTCAAAGAGAACAGAATCTACAGCTTCACCGGAGAGGACATAACCTTCCATGGAAGCTGAAACAAAAGTCGAACAAAGAAGTGAGGAGGAAGGTGTATATTTGTCCGGAACCAACGTGCGTCCACCATGAACCGTCACGTGCTCTCGGAGACCTCACCGGAATCAAGAAGCATTATTACCGAAAGCACGGTGAGAAGAAGTGGAACTGCGAGAAATGCTCTAAGCGTTATGCTGTTCAATCTGATTGGAAAGCTCACTCTAAAATTTGTGGTACCAAAGAGTATCGATGTGACTGTGGTACCATCTTCTCTAGGTAAACTATCCTTCTTGGTTTCTTTCAATTATTTTGTTCATATTATATATCATTTAAAAACCATATATATATATATATATATATATATATATATATATATAATCTTTTTGGAGCAAAGATGTTATTAATCTTTATAAAAACATGTTGGTTATATAGTCCATATCCTATAGTCTATACGGGTCATCATTTTGTTGTTCGAAACTAGAAGCATTATTTACTTCGAGTTTACATGTCGGCTCTAAAATTATAAGGTTCGTACTCTGGCTTCTGCTTAAAACTTCCAGTTAAAAATACATGTCGGTCAGTGAATATTAATTATTAAATTAATGATTATGCAAGCTATGTATAATGCATGAGTGTGGTACCCTCTTTAGATATATAGTGACTTGTGACTGAAATCTACGCGTATAGAAATCATCATCTATATTGGTCACGGAATATCATATTTCCTACATAGGGACATGAACACATATGCACATAGGATCTATCAATCTATTGGGTTGGTTGCTAATGAGTAGAGTAAGAGCATCTTTATCCTAACCACCCACTATGAGTTGTTTAGGAATATAATATCATTATTTAAAGAGTTTAATTTGCTAAACAACCTAGCTAAGCAACTTGGTTATTTATCTCCTCCATTGCAAGTGTCTTATTTAAGCCATCTTAAAAATATTAAACATTTAATATTAAACTTAAAATTCATTTCTTAAATAAAATATATTACAAAATAGCATTTAAAACATAGATTAAAAAAAAAACATAAAAACAAAGATTCATAATATAAACGAGACTTATTTTAAAGAAACATTCGAGATTAATTGTTGTCTTCATCACCTCCAAATTTGTTCCATATATGGGCAACCAAATCATCTTTGAGCTGTTGATGCATTTTTTTATCCCGGATGGTTGTTCGAACATCAATTATATTTGCGATATTTGTAGGAATATCTGTAGAATACGTGAAATCGACATGTGAAGTTCCGGTGAATTCTCCTTGTTGGAACTCTGAAACATCAAACTGA